GTGGGTGAATAAATTGCAAACATCACTCGAGACTTTGGACAGCTTTCCCGACACCCTTCATATTGTGGGTTCAGCTTCAGCTACTGCTCAGACATTTCCATTCCATAAACGTTTTACCATAAAAATACTTAAACAGGAAAAAAAAGTAATGAGACTCTGGGAATTTGAATCGTAAATATTTCGGGGGAAATTTGATAATTCAGAAAAGCGCGTCAAAAGTACTGCCCTACCTTTTTGCGGGGCCACGTTCACCCAGAATAAGTACTGCCCGTTAACCAATCTTTTAAATTTTCAAAATTAAGAAAAAAACGGAAGAAAATAGCCGGTGCTTTGTAAAATTATTTATGCAGTTCACGTAATCGAATTGAACCTCATCATTCTGAAAAATTCATACTTCGAAGTTATGCATGGAAAATATTTTCAGCTTTTATAATTTGAGACAATCATGAAGTCCATGAATTACGAGTGGAATTTTGCTGCTCGAGGTTTTGGCGCATGTGGACTTCTATTTTGCGAAAATATATTCTAAACATTTTTTGAATGAATAACAAAATAAATCAAGTACATGCTAGAACAGTGTTACCCAACATTTTTGGGTCTGCAACCAGCAAATTTCCATGAAAATATTTGTGGACTGACAAATTAAAAAAAATATTCTGCACCTACTCTGCAAAGTTTTGTAAATATTTTGAACACTCAAGAAAGTTTTGCCTGAAATACTTCATAAAAGGTATAGAAAAAGTTTCTGCTTTTTTGCAATAAAGATAGAGTAGAGAACCAATGAAGTGGGCTTAATGAAATGTGTCCAAAAATTAGAAAGGTGGGCTTGAACAAACATCTGTCAGAGTGAAAAATTGAAATACTTGTACTGTACTGTAATTCCTTTCTATCAGTTGATAAATTGTCTGAAGTGTTATTAAGATATAAGCCAACTTTTTTTCATGGGATAATTTCAATTGCAATTGTCTTGAAAATTTTCAAGATTGAGATACTGTAATGTACTCCATTGGAAGTTTTGTCAAATGCATCATGCTTGAAAACATTTCCTGCGGATCGGCAGCAAAGTACTTTCTCGGACCACGGGTTGGAGAACATTGTGCTAGAATATCAAACAATATTAAAATTTATAATTACAAAATGAAACAATGACCAGGGAAATCAGAAGGCAAAAATGTGCACACAGAGATTATTTTCCAGCAACTTTGGCCCAGCAACTGAGCTTAGTTACCACTTACCACAGCATTCATTTCTAATTATTAACTCTGAAAATAAAGCAATCATATATGCATATATTTATACATCAATCTAAAACATGCACAAATGAATAAATACGGTATCATATTTGACTTTTGAGTTATTGTTAACGAAGCTTGGCTCCGTTCTACAATTGAATTTCGTCTTGCAAGAACGCTCCGACTGGATTCTGATGCTCATATATTTACCCTCGGGCCCCGGGAAGCAAAAAAGCTTTCAGCAGCACCAAAAAAAAAAGTGTTAGTTTTCTGCACGAAAGCCAAGTCATGTATTCGCATGGCAGGAATTCGATTCAGCCAAGGAAGGAAGAGTAGGAATCATTTACATCCGCCTGAGCCTTTCCATTTATATTTCTTCCCAAACATACACTCGATCGATAAGCAAGCGAGAAAATGGATCAAGAAATGCCCATGTCTACATTCTTGCGCGTATATACATATATGAAAGCAGGAAGCAAAAGGGTACAGCAAAAACCTTCCATTGTCGTAAAAAAAAGGGGGGTAACCCGAGGTATATGGGGGTTTTCGTGTGGGCGAAAACGGAAATGCGATAGCTTTCTATATCCCCAAGTCTGAGAGATGGAAATAAAGATATATCGGGTTATTGTGTTCTCTCGTCATCGGTACTCCCACTGCTCGATATTGCATTCATATCCATCTCAGATTTCTTATAATAATAAAAAGCAAATTCTGCGTGTGCATGGATTCGGAAAAATAGGGGGCAGAGTAATGAAATTGCCAATATGCCAAATGTCTTGACTCACTGAAGGAAGCCTTGGATCAGGGTGTGTCCAAATCTAAGAGCAGCTGTTGAGAATGCATTTGTGACACTGGGATTGATACTGGGGTCATACTGGTACGAATATCCAGTTGCGAGAGGATGAAGGCTGTAATTCTGCATGAAATACGACCCTGAAATTGAAAAAAGTCATGATTATTCTTGTCTAGAACATTCGAATCGTTATTCCGGTCAGAAAGAAAAAAACTCGATTTTAAACCGGTAGAAGTCAATGAGGGAGGAAAAGTTTGTATAGAGATGACTTGAAGTAATCTAACTCATCATTTCATGAATTTATGAAAAATCGAAGGCATTTTTTGTCTTGTAAATTTAATATCATTTCGATTAGTCTCATAAATAAAAAATTAGTATTATATCATGAGGCTCGAGTTACGGACGCCCCATCATAAAGACAATTTGACTTATTTGGGAACACTTTAATTTCGAAAATGCTGCCCAAAAAGCCTCACAATAATGTCTTGAGATACGGAAAATTTTCCGAAATTTATAGATAAATTGAAAAAAAGTTCAACATTTTGATATCTCCTGAACAACTTGAGCTATTGATTTAAATAAATTGAAAATATGTACCAATTCACTTTGATTGATGATTGCAAATACAATCGTGTAATTTTGTGTTTCTCCGTAGTGGTTTTTTTTCCGACTTCTATACATATTTTAGCAAGATGTGTGCCTCTTCATTGCTGTTTGACCTCCTTTTACATGCCAAAATGGCAAAATCTAAATTACTTCTGCAGAGAAATGTTTCATCTTGGATTTGAAAAAAAATTATTGTATATTTTTGGGCGACTTCTTCCATATTTTTTGAGTGGCAGTAGAAAAAATAACGCGTATCTTCTCATTGCATTCTATAACATGGGGAAACGTGATCATTCCTAAACGGGGACAATGAGGTCCAAGAAAAAATTACGTCCACATCTTGGGGCCCAAATGTACGACAAAGCGTTCCAATTTTCGTTTTCAAATAATGAAGCCATTAAAAAACATTTTCGTAAATTGAAACTGACCAAGGACAATCGGTAGCCATTCATTGTACGTGATGTGCTGCATTTCTGCCGCAACAATTCGGCGAGCTTCTTGGTAGATGACTTCATCATTCCAATATGGATTGATTTTCGAAAGATGATCAGCAATTCTGTTGTGCTCTCGCATCCACATCGTGTGCATGGTTGTCAGTTCAACCTGTTCATTCACTCTGGCATCACCTGGAAAAAAGTAATTCCGTTTAGATTTTTCAGACGGCTTTCCCTCCAATATGAGCCTTTCGTTTTGAAAATATCTCAAATTTCAAAAACAAATGCTACCAGCATGAGCTTCAATATTTCCATCTTATAAATATTCAAAAATCAGGAAAAAAATTCATCGTCCGGAAGATACATGTATCGAAGATGTTTGTAATGTAGAAGTGCGCTCGTGGATGTCTTCATTTCATTAAATTGCATGATTACTGAAAGCAATCGTCGGGACGGACAGGAAGTAACTTCTTGAAAGATAAACTGTTTCTCACATTGAAGACGAGTGCTTGCAAATTCGTTACTTCTTCAAGAATCGGAAGTTCGTTCATTTATGTCCATCAGCTTTGCTCGGTTGAATCAGAGCAATTTCAAGGAGTTAACAAGTTTTGAAGCAGAGCAACAGAAGAAACATGGCTTCCATCGCATATAAACAAAAAGTTTCTTGTGAGGTGTGTCATCAGTTTAATTTGATTATGCTAAAATAATCGATCATGGGAAAGTATTTCTTTGCTTAGCTCTTGACCGTCAGATGGTGGCAGCCTCCTTTCAACTCCAGGGCAAATCTGGATTTTTTTTTGTTGGGACTGCATTTCATTTTTACCTAAGCTTATGTAACCCCTTCCAGGTGGGGAAGGGCAAAATTGGTTTTTATCCAGAGATAAAGAAATTCTGCAGAATTCCTAAGTCAGACTTTTCTTTAGTGATCTCAAAGCTGGGCTCTTGGCTTTTGAACTTGAATTCAATCTTTGAAGAGGAAAAAACACAAAGCCAGGGGGAAAACAGTGAGCCTTTAAGATGTAATTTTTTCATTTCTGAATAAGGTAACCTGGTAAATTTTTCCACAGAAAAATTTACCAGGATTCTCCCGAACTTTGCCCTACACACACTGTCATGGTTGCTAAAAACATCATTCTTCAAGGAACCTAAAATCTGATAAAAGAAAGTCTGAATTTCAAAAGCCTAAAGTTTAATCCTGGTGCATGTGTGTAATTGTGATTGAGATAAGCCTTAGAATCTATGCAGCTCACTTTCATGCTGCTTCCATTTCCATTCTGAAAACATTTGTTATACCCTTCCCATAATAAATTAGCTGCAGCACATTGAATGAAAGAGCATGCCTTCATCTCACACAGCATGTTTATATGTATAACGTTTCTTCACTGTATCAGTACGCCATTATTTGTTACCGGGAGTGGAATTGGTTTGATGGCGGGTGTTTTCACTGACTGACCTGCCTTGAAGCAAAAGAGGTTCTTCATTCTATAAAGAGGGTTGGCTTCCAAGCAGTCCCAGACTGATTATGGCATTTTATTCATAACATCTCTTTGTTTGGGGCAAACCCTACTGGTAGCTAAGATTTTTTGGATTAGGAGAAGCCTTGGATTACTTCCAGCTCCATTTTATGCCATTTCCATTCCCATCCTTGAAACATTTTTCAAGCGTTTCCTATAAAAAGATCAGCTGCAGCACATTTAATGAAAAACCAAGCTTTCATCACACACATATGCTGATATAACTTGTCTGCACTTCATCAGTGCGCCATTATTTGTGACAGGAAGTGGAATCGGTTGGATGGTGGGTAACTGGATATTTTCACTGACTGACCTGCCTTGAAGCAAAAAAGGTTCTTCTTTCTATAAAGAGGCTCCCAAGAGGTCCCAGGCTGATTATTATGGTGTTTTACTCATAAAAACTCTTTGGTTTGGGAAAACCCTACTGGACACACAGATAATTTTCTTGAATTGAGAGAAGCGTTGGAATATTTCCAGCTCTATTTTACGCCATTTCAATTCCCATCCTTGAATCATTTGTTAAACCCTTTCCATAAAAAGATCAGCAGCAGCACATTGCATGAAAGAGCATGCCTTCATCATCATCACACACATAAGCTGATTTAACTTGTCTCCACTTTATCAGTGCGTCATTATTCGTGACAGGAAGTGGAATCGGTCGGATGGTGGGTGTTTTCGCTGACTGACCTGCCTTGAAGCAAAACAGGTTCTTCTGTGGGTCCGTGCACTCGTCCATCATGTCGGTGTTGAGCGGCAGGAGGTCCTTATCGCCGACCTGCGTCACCTTCAGACGCCCGCCTCGAAAAGTCCGCAATTCCCGGGCCTCGTCGTCTTCTGATGCGTAAACATTGCTGGCGTCTATAAAGTGCGTGATCTGGTCCATCTGTGAGGCAAACAATGCATAAACACTCAATCAATCAATCAATTGATCAGCGCTGACGTCGCGTTCCTCCTGCCGCCGATTCATCAGGCAAAGTGTGTGCTTGTGTGCGTTTCCCCTCGATATCTACGTATTTCCCTGTGGTACTCTCTGAGTAAGCAAGGCACTAAACTGGATTGCATCTTACGTCTCAGACGTCATTACTCAAGCCAAGTCACTACATACAGGGGAACAGGAATAAAGCACATCGTGAGGAGTGAGATTCAATCATGGCGATGCATCCGAAAAACTTTCGAAAAATCCCCGTGAGAAAGGTAATCGTTGAAATAAAATCCTATGATCTCACACTCGAAAGAAGTTCGACGTCAAAAGAAAATATCGAAGATATACGCCCAATTGAACTGAGTGTGTATTGAATTGATGAGCGGAGACAACATTGTACAGTACTTGGTTTGTTTGCTTGATTTTGAGATGTTTCGTCATTGCAATGAATCGTTCACTATCAAACTACTCGTCATATTTTTGAAACGTATGCTCTGAAATATAACCTATTTTCTTGATTATTTAGAAACGTGGTGTCAAAATAAAAAAACACCAGCAATACAGTACATTAATCATGGAGTAAACCAGCGAAGTGATCTCTCCTCATCCAAAATATCATTCCTTGAACTAATGGACTACGGTTTGATAGTCAGATTTTTCATCATCAATAAGGATGAAAAACGATGTGATGAGGATGAATCCAATGACTATGGAGTATGCATACAATACAGTATTACCAAAAATAAACGGCCAGTAATGTTCTAGGTTATATTTTTGTGTATGGGTATTAACATTGAATATAATGCATTGGAAACCACAGTGATTTCATTTTGGGAACCCACCAACCAGTGTGATATGTGCATCATTATTCAAGGCGAGAATTAATTGGTTGGAAAAACTGCCGAACGTTAAAAACAATTAAGAGTAGCAAAACTTTGAGAACTTTCTACCAAGGGATTTGTTCTCCAGCATTGTCTTTTACTGTGATTATTCTGGCAAATCCCAGGCCTCTAAGAATTTACCTGATCCAGAACAGAGTACTGGATCACAGCCATTCAAAATAATTACTAAATTATATTTTAATTCCGAATTTTCATCAGTCTGTCTTGAGCTGTCATGGGGAATAACAGCTGTGTCCTAAAATTAATAGCTTGCTGAGAGTTGTTTTTGTCGTTTTGCCTCATTGTGCGTCTTCTTAAATTGTTCTTAAAGATCTAAAATATTGTTGGGAGAATTTGAATACATCTCAAAGTTAAAGAAGGGATTCTTGGCTAGTGATTGCATAATTTTTAATATTGCCAAGTATTCGCAACTCTGATTAAAGAGAGCGGAGATTCCGAACTTTTCCTATCAAAAGACACATTTTTCAAAATGAAAATATTCATTGATTGAAGAAGAATGGAGTCATCATACTCAGACTTGATGTCAGTACAGTATTTCGTAAGTCATAAGGAAATAGTAGGGCACTCCGTTTATAGAACGACGGGCAAGAAAGAAAAAAACCAAGCGATTGTCGCTTCCTGTGGATGCTTTTTTTTTTTTTTTTTTCTATTTTTCCTAGTTGTTTTTTTTTTTTTTTTTTTTTGCGATTCGACCTAGACATTTTTCTTCGCTGCAAGAGAAAAAAAAGCAAATCCCAAAGCTGACTTCTTACAAGATATCACCTGCTCGAAAGGACCATAACATTATTTTTCATTTCCGAATAAAAAGATATCCTCTCGTTCCGAGAATCGAGAAGCACCTTCGATCAAACTCACGTTGCTCGTTTTCCCAGAAAGCGCTTTATTTGATACAGTTACGACGTAACCTAAATATTTCGGCATTTACTGAATCAGTTTCCCGAGAACTTTGTACGGCTTGCGAGGTCATTAGTCTAAATTGTATGCAGTGGTGATGATAGATAACGTGGTGCTTCAAAAGAAATCATTAAAACCGGGGCTTCAAGAGACTAAATTCAACATTTAATTTTCTGTATAGCGGATGAAAAAAGTCTGGCTTTGTCGAGAAACGCCAAAATTTCAAACTTAAATAGGTATGTTTTAGTCTCGATCACAATAATATTTATTCTGACATGAGGTTCATAAAATTTGGCACAACTTTGCGTGATTGAAAGTTGAGTCAGCCCATGCAAGGCCACCGATTTTCGCACGACTTTTTCTTTATGATGTTTAAAACTTCAGCGCACGTCTCACTCCTTTTGGACGTAAATTTTGTGAACCAAATGAGACTGTCCAAAGTTCGTAAAATAGTTTGAACTGATGTCAATATACATTTTTTTTCTGCTTCACTGACCTGCTGCCTGGGTCCAAAAGCACAGTCATCTCTGGGTGCTGGCAGTGACCTGACAAACTCCATGCAAATCTGACCAAACCTCGCATAATACGGGTCATCCCTCGGAATTTCAATTGGCAAGCAAGCCGGATGGCGGAGATCTTGTCGGATGAAAGACTTGCCATCTTCGTCACAGCATTTTATCCCGGACTGATTTTGTCCCTGCTCAAATCATCAGCCCAAAAACGAGAGCGATAAACATTCACAATAGCAAAAGGACTTTTCAACCTATTTTTGGAATAAATCTTGCCTTTTCGATGGGTGTGTGTGTGAGGTCATGATCCAGAAATTGACCCCACTGCATGACCATCAATGTCAAGTTTCTGAATGGCCTGTCCACATCAGCTACCACATTTGCACTCACTTTTCTTGGGCTCGGTAGTTGTCTTCCTGATTTTCCCATGCGGGGCATAAACAATCCTAAAAATATAATGGAATCAATTTTTGAATACTCATAAAATTAGGAATCATATCTTCATCACTCTCAGGAATTTGAGAAGCAATAAATTAAAAAAAAACATTCGTCTTGGGTCTTTGATGTCTATTTAAAAAGGAAAAAATGTAGCATAATAAGCTTGATTCCCAATGTATGCCTCATGAGTTTGCTGATCTAATAGTAAAATGATTTAAATCAGAGCATGAATCACAGTATTACCTCAAATACCACAAGCTTCTGAGTAAGATGTGCACCAGGGTTTTTGAGTCAAGCATTTGGGTGAAATTGTATCCTCAAGAAACATGCTGCACACCCCATTTTTAGTGACTTTGAAACTAATAAAGATGGTAACTTGCAATTTGACCTAAAGCTTACTCTGAGCATCAGGCGATTTAATGGTTGAGTTTGCTGGAATAAGGTTGACGTGCAATTCAATCTCTGCATCACAATTTGACCTCTTTCAGCCCCTTTTTTCACATGTTTTGCTGTTTTTTCTTTATTCTACAAAGTGTCACACAGTGTGACCACTTTCCAATTAAACCCTAGTCTGTCAATGGATTAGGGTCAGATTGCAGGGTATTTGAAAGATGAGATTGCCCACATTTCAGTTTAGACATGAATTGAACCTCAATTTACCTAATTTTCATTTTTTCCTCAAAATAGGTTTTTCAATTCAATTTTTTTTTTAATGCTTCATTACAATCAAGTATAATGCACACCTACATTAAAAAAGTAAATACCTGCCTATATATGAGGTGCACCCCTTTTTCCCCTTTTTGAAGTGGAGGAAAGTGTGTACCTGTTGCTCAAGTAAATATGACTCTCTGCATATATTTAAAAATTGCAAATTTAAAAATGAGAAGTGAAGTGAATCACCATCAGCGTAATCAGGCTCCAAAATACGCTGCATTGCAGTTCTGGCTCTTCCCCAGTTTGGATTTTGAAGGTTATTGCAAGATCCATCAATGGTTCTGTACCTGGTGTCAGTGTTACAGTTTGGCACAGAAGGACAGGTGCTTGCAATGTCAGTCTCCATGACTGATAGTGTTGGCAAACCAAACAGTGCTTGATCCTTTGACAAGGAGAATCTGCAAAGATTCAAAAAGTGACATTTGATATCTGTTGATTGCAGGCTTCGCATGATTCCACAAAATGAACTCAATACGTGCTCCTTATGCCAAGAAATATTTACTTTTACATCACCTCAAACCTTGAATGACCTTGAACGGACTGTCCTTTATAACAGCGTAAATTTATTCAAGAGATACGTGGAATTGCAGTTGGGCCCTGAGATCCTAAGATAGTTTGTGCTTGGAACTTGTCCCTATATATGTCTCAACTTCTACATTTATCACTGCGCACAGTTGTTATTTGATAATAAATTAATCTCCCTGACCAGAAAAAAAACCTGTGATAAGCCCTCAAAGGCTCTGATAAAACAAGCCAGTCTCCAAGGAAATCTCCCATTCTTTGGTCTAACCCAGCTTTCTCTTTAGAATTCTTGAAATTGACATGGTATTAATCGGGCTGAAATCACCTTTTATGCGAAAGAATTTTTTTACAATATTTTTTTCAGTCTGCGCCATTCCACTTTTTACGCCCAAGAACTTTCATTAGACCCCTCGCGTATTGTACCAAGTTTTTTCCCCTTCATCCTTGTGATTATAGTTCCCATGACGTCGGTGTTGTTAAATGGATCCGTCAGGCTCTTTATATACATAACTAGATACAAACACACAAAAAATAGAAATATTTGTCGACAAGGTCAGGAGCCCGAAATCCATTAGCAATAAGTTTGATACATTGAAGTGCGTTACTCCAACGAAAGGCTGTATTTTCCCGTAGAGAACCCCTTTGATGGGCGTCTGCCAATCATGATCTTAATCGCTGTACCCAAAAAAAAAACCTCTTCATTTGATGCCTGTGTAATACAATTGCTGGAGAGAGATTTCGGACTCGATGAGTCGTGATTATTTCGTCTGCTGATGATTCATTCCGATTCTTGGTCTCGTCGTTATGTTAATACGACCAGTAAATTTTCGCAACCCCAAGGTCCTCAAACAATCACAATAACTGGCTCATATAGAAAACTTAAACTCGCGATGGGATAAAGTTGGTAAATCATATGGTTCCGTTGGAAAGTTTCCTACGTAGTTTCTTTTCCTGTGCCTTGGGGCTGATTTACATTCACGAGTATATATATATAGTATATATATATTCGCCTGAAGGTTCACAGCAGTTCTCTGACGTAAGCTTCACTCGTAAAATTAATCTTCACCCGAAGGAGAAGACTGTTTCAAACAGAGTATCCCCCTGCGGGCAAAAAGATGTTGATTTCTATCTTGAGTTTTTTCTCAAGGTGGGAAGTGACGTAGGCAATATTTCGAAAGGCTTATTGCAACAAGGTTGAACACTCATTATTTGTTGTTCAGGAAGTTACCTTATGCGAGTTGGAAATTGATGAATGAAATTTGTATTCTACAGATACTGTAATTCATTCGAGGTTTTGGTTCAGAAATGAATGACTAACAAGGTTCCGGGATAATCCGAGGTACGTTATTTTAAAGACCTTCAAAAAATTTTTTAAGCAATACACGATTTTCTTTACAGAAATAAGTTTGCTTTTACCTCTCTGATGAAAATATTCCAAAAATAAATTGCTGATTATACTCAGGTGAGAGCTTGAAGGAAAACTTCCCGCTTCAGATTTAAAATTTTTTAACAAAATTTGGGAACTGGAATAAACTAATTACTGATATGGACCTCAGTTTATACAGAAAGCCTGAAAATTTAATCAAATGAAAAAAGTCTTGGATCGGAAAAAACTTATGATATTCCGTAAAACCCCCAAAATGCTTTATTGGGATTTGAAATTGAAAAAAACTTTCCATGATTTTATTGATTTATTTTACGCCGTAAGACAACTATGAAAACTTCAGATTTTTACTTTTCATTAAATTGCCGCCACTTACATTTAATCGCTTACTTTTCAGTGGCCTCGCATATCCAACCACAAACATTCTTTCTCGCTATACAAGACGTATCAGGCATTTTGCTGACAACATGGCGTAAGTTTTATCGCATTCGTGGTTCCAGGAATGATTTAATTTTTATGAAGCCTGATAAAAAGCCATTTTACCACGTTTTTACCACGTTTTTATGAACTCACTTTCTTGTCTGTCTGTTTGTCCGGATCAAATTTTGAAACTCAAATTTCACTCACTTCCAGACTAGCTAGCAAGCTGAAACTTTCAGGATAGCCTAGAAACTGATGACAATGCAATCTTTTGTGAAAAAATTAATTTTAAGAATATTTTTTTAAAAGAATAAAATAATTATAGTAGATTTCTATAATAAAACTTTGAGCAGGTTTTCCTTGGCCCCAAGAAAAAAACCCATGGTGAACTGAATTGGTCGCAGAGGTCCGAGTTCAATCCCACTCCCTGGAACATTTTTTTTTCTAATTAATTAACACGTTTTTA